CTTTGTCGGTCTTTCGGCGTGTACTTACAAATAGTAGTATTTATTTTATTCAGTCATTCCTAATTGAGCTTTGCTTCGAGTCTAATGTAATAATTGTTTTTACTCTAATCCTTGTTGTTCTCGGAGTGATAAGTTTACAATTTGACATGAGTGACGAAGAGTCGAATAGTTCTAGTCGGAGTAGTGAGAGTTGGAGTTATAGATCTAAAAGACCTAAAAGTAAATTTGATGAGTTTTGCGACATAATTCATGCATCCCAAATTGCTTTGTGTAAATTATGCCAACATAAAAAGGTTGAAAAACAGAAACACTTCAGGTTTAAGGAAGCATCTAATATCTTTCCACAAAAAGGAATCACAAATATTTCTTCCTGAAAAACCAAAATTAAGTGGAGATATCACAAGCTTTTTAATAACCACCGGAAAAAGTGGACAGGTAAGAAAAAATATACTTATCACACAATTACATAACATATATATTATGTAACTAGCGGCCGCCTGCGACTTCGTCCGCGTACAATATCTGATTTCCTATGAGATTTTGAAATTTTCTCGCTGCAAAAGTCTTACCTAAGTATAAAGAGGCTTTATAGGTAAAGCTTAACTATGCAAGTTATTTATTATTTAAAACTAATAAAGTAAATGTCAATCTTCATATCTATACTTTAAAAATATAGGACTTGCATGTAACCATTTTACCCCAATTTCACCCCCTTAGGGTTAGGATTTCGTAAAACAGCTTATTCAGGATTTCATTATTGAAAACTTATAACTTTAATGCTGATTTTCGCGTCTCTAACTTCAAAAACGTAGGACTTTCATACAAACCTCCAACTCCCATTTCACTCCCTTAGGGATAGATTTTCTCAAAACCGTTTCTAAACTGATCTCTATGCCATTAAGGAACCTACCTTACAAACTTCAAGTTTGTATGTTTTATAGTTCCTGAGATATTGTTATAGTCAGTCAGTGAGTGGTAGTTATATATATATAGATTATAGTGTTAAATATGTATTTATAATTCACTCATATTTTCATTTGTTTTTATAATCGGCGAGACACATGATTTTCTGTTTTATTTCAGTCTGAAAATAGCAGTGACAACATCACGACAGCTACAGTTGATTGGATGGTTAAAAAATATCTTCCCTTCTCATTTTTCGATGACGAAGCTACACAAGTATATTTTCGATCAATTTGCCCAAATATGGTGTTTCCTAAAAGGTCCACACTTAGAAGGAAGGTCAAAGAACGGTTTGAAGAGCTTCAATTGAATCTTAAGAAAGGACTACAACAATTTTCATCTAAAATATCATTTACCATTGATGGATGGACGTCATTAGCTGGTAGGAGTTACTACGTGGTCACTATTCATTATATAGACAACGAATGGAAGTATCGATCTGTAGTCCTTGATTTTATACCATCACGCGGTCGACATACTGGGGAAGATATTGCAACGATTTTCCACGAATGTTTATTGGAATATGACAAATTGATAAAATACAGGGCATCACGGTCGACAACGCAACTGCAAATACCAAATTTATGTATGAATTGGACAAACAGCTGCCACACTTTGATTCAGATAATCAACATTTCCGGTGCTTTGCGCACATTTTGAACCTTGGTGTACAAGATTTATTAAAGACCTTAGCATTACACAGTGAAACTGACAATAAGGGACAAGAACAGCAGTATGAAGATAATGAAGACGAAACTGAGGAAGATGAAGAATATGCGCCAAATATTGCTGACTCACGTACAGCTATAACAAAATTACGCAGTATTTCCAGTAAAATAAAAAGAAGTGAGATATTGAAGAGGAAGTTTCAGTCTGCTTGTGAAGCAGCTGGCGTGCCATCAAATCTGAAACCCATACTCGACTGTCCAATGAGATGGAATTCCACACATTATATGATTGGATTTTGTTTAAAAGCGAGAACTGGCATTAACATATTGTGCACTTCTGTCACCGAATTGAATGATTTTCAAATCACAGATAGTGAATGGCAAATACTCGAAAAAATACATAAGTTTCTAATAAACTTTAAACTTCTATCAACGAAACTTGGTGGAGAAAAATATGTTACATTACCGCTAGTCATTGTATCATTCAATCTCTTGCTCGATAAAATTGAATCAATTAGATGAGAAACCTAATCGATCCGAAGTGGATGAAAGGCTCATTCTGGGTTTTCAAGCAGCTCGAGACAAAATGCTTAAACATTATAAAAAGAGCAACTGGATTTATTGTACCTCTTTAATTTTAGACCCAAGGCATAAGACTCAGACTTTTGACATGACATTATGGGGGAAGCAAATTAAAACAGAAAGCCTGCGCAAATTTAATGAACTTTATAAAGAATATAAAGGTCTACACTCAGTGAATAGATCTGTAGAATCACCAAGAAATGAAAAGAAAGTATGTGAATATGATGAAGATGAAGACGTAATAGACTTTGAGAAATTGTATGCATGTCCCTCGACGTCATCTGGATCTGGATCTTTTCATCAAGGCTTAGTTATAGACGAGTTGGAGGAGTACCTAAGTAAACCCAGAGCCGCCAGTTCGGAAGACATTTTAGAGTGGTGGAGGACGCATGAGACAGAATATCCGGCTTTATCGAAGGTGATTTTCTTTCAATACCTGCAACTTCAGTACCTGCTGAGAGATTGTTTTCTAAAGCATCATTAGTAAATAGAAAACATAGAAATAGGTTAAGTGAATTAGCCAGATGGTTACTTTGTATTAATTTTTGGTCAAAAGAAGTAATATAAAGTATCAGTAATGTCAAAGCTGTTGTGTACTGTTATGTAATTTAATTTGTATTGTATTTTATTTTTTTATTTAAATAAATGGTAAATTGTATAACTCTTTTATTCCATTTCATATAAGGGTCTATCAATCTCTTTCTAGACAGATAATGTTCTTTATAATACAGTCAAGTAATATCATTAATTTGTTTTTTATATGTTTTGACTAAGTTTCAGCACATGTAAGCTTATTAAATGTAAACGTTTATTAAGAAACAGACTAACTCCCGTGGCCGTGAGACTTTGTAGACAGCTCAGTTGGTTAGAGCATCGGCACGGATGGCTTAGGTCGTGGGTTCAAACCCCACCCGGTATTAGTTGATTTCTCGAATTTCTCATTAAATGTTTAGACATTTATTAATTTGGTTGGTCTTTCTATGGCTATGTTAATTCAAGCTCAAAATGTGCCTACACTGTTAAGTTGTTCTAAGATCTAAAGTAACGTTTAATAAATAAAAATGGGCTAATAGGTAATTGCGAGACTTGCGAGACTCAAGACCAAAACAACTACGCAAGACCAAGACCAAGAACAAGACCAGGTGTATTGGCGCAAGACCAAGACCAAGACTGGCTAAGTCTCTTCTTGTTCTTGCATTTGGGCAACACTACTGATAATTATTAAAATAAGTATATGCTTGAAAAATATGCCAGTACATAAAATATGATAAACTCAATTAAATTCTTAATCCAATGAATTTTGATATCTCGAATTACTAAGATAAAAAATTATAATTTAATCGCCAGGATAAAACTTTAACGTTAGAGTTTTCTTAACCATATATTTTTCGATAATTTGAAAGGCATAATTCTTAATCGCCTACATTTTATTTTAGTCTTTTGTTACCTGATAAAAATCAAAAAGATTCAAATAAAGTAATATTTTGTTCTTTGAGTATCTCAGAGTAGCGACAACTTAAAATTAAACAACTAAAATATTGCAATTGCCTACCCGCCTGCCAAACGTGGCAACTATGGCAAATATTCTCCTTATGAGTCAATCTAATGGGGAGACCTATGTACAGCAGTGGACTTTTGACAGGCTGTAACGATAGCTTCATGGATGGTCCCGTAAAAATTTTAAATGAAAATTTCACCCTCAAGGTTGTCCTAAACAACGAACGAATGATTCTTGAATGTAACTTTTTAGAAGACATTTTAGTAGTTATCTTGAACTTTTACCTATTTAGTTCACAATAAAGGGTAAATAATTGCAACTTTTTTGTAAAAGTTTTAAAAAAGTAAGAAGGGACTTGAAATTGCTCGCTGAAAAAAGAAATTATTTATTTGCTACCCTTAGGGGTGGAATTTTTTCTCCAAATTTATATGGCACTACCCTTGAAGTATAAAATATTTAACGATCAAAAACATTAAAATCTATAAATAAATATTCTTTATCTGCGAAGACATCATTCGAAATTCCTTAAACAATAGTCTAATATGAAAAGTTGTCCCCTATTTTAAAAAAAAATCTAACACTGGGTGCGGAATTTTTTCTTAAAAGTTGAATGGGACCACCCTTGAGATAAAGCCTATTTAATAAAAAAAATAATGATAAAATCGGTTCATAATCTGGCAAGATATCGCGTAACATATACAAAAAAAGAGCATACACTCGAATTGAGAACATCCTACTTTTTGAAGTCGGTTAAAAACTTAAAGTAAATTTGTTCATTTAGAATTCAATTTTTGTTCGTTAATATTTCAAATACTAAATAGAAAATTTATTGTATTTAGTTTATGTAGTCAAGTTTGACTTCCACAAGATAGCTTCTGAAGTTACGGCTCTAATTCTTCGAAACAATGTCTTAGCACTGACTTGCGAAGGTATGATGTGGAAATTATTGGCAGTGAACTGTTTACTACTACATAAAAATGGTGATGTTACCTCATACAGTTCAGTGTTACCGTAACCGTTATGTAGCGGGGGCCATAGTTGCCACCCTCGAAAAGCAGTCGTCATTATGAAGACACTGCTGTCTGATTTCATTTGTTTCTCCCTATCTTACGACACCCACGGGAAGATATGGGGCAGTGGAAACTCTTACACTGCCAATAGTGTAAATATTCTTTAAGTAAGTAAGTAAAAAAGTTCAATAAGTAATTTCTTTAAAAATTCTTTACCGTGTAAAAAATCTAAAATTATTATTATTATTATATAGTTTACTAGACTAACTAGGTACTCACCAAGAAGAAGGCGTAGTCACTAGCGTGTGTGAAGAGGAATCGGCGCCACATTCAGCATACCACGAGGTTCGGGCTCTAGGGCTCTTCTCCTTGCGCGACAGCGTCGGTAGGAGCCGCTTTAATTCTGTGCCATATACAAAGTTGTTGTAATCGAAGTTTATAAATGGTTATGTTTAATACCTTGGGATTGCCAGTACTTGAAAATTAATTGGAATGAAGTCAAAAAATAAACAAATATTTAATATAAATGTTTCACTTATTTAAAAAAATATCTTACAGGAAAAAAAGAACAGCATTTATAAAAAAGATTTACTGTACTAACGAAATATAACAGTAATTAATTTTAAATGTAAAAGTGTTAATTTAGTTTGTAACTTGTATTGCTATTTTATAACTGGCAATCCTATTAATAACATGTACACTGAGCGGCAATTCAAATGTGGATTGATAAATAATCATTTTTTTTATTTCAGTAAAATCTTATACAATGTCATATGAGAAATGAATAAAACGAACGAAATAACTGAATAATAATATGAATACATATGAATAATCTTTGACATAAATAATCTTGACAATTTTTATTTTATAAAAATAGATCATTGCACTAAGACTAAGATTAAAGACAGCTTAATTACATATGTTGTTTCACAAAGCGTTAAATTAATTTTAAATTTCTTTCATTTAAAACATTTAATAATAAACTTCAAAAAATGAATGAATTTTTTCGGATTTTGTCAAGTACTGCCTTGTAGGTGCAAAGGATATGAGTTATAAAACCTATTTATTTATTTATTTACAAAGAATAAAGTATCCCATTTGTCATGCCACTCAGTATATAAGTAGTTACTGTGAGTATAGTGCAATCAATTAAATGTTTGTATTAGCTACGTTACATAGCTCGCATGAGCGCCAACATTAAACGCATGCAAACTGCACATAACCTACTTTATTATGTACTACTCGCATGAGCGGTTGCAATCATTTACTAACAAGTCATGCGACATTTATGTTTAACAGATATAATATTAGCACTGACGGCGGAAAGAATAATAACATAATTACGAGATAAAATTCAGATTTAACGTTAACATGTGCATTTTCACATTTTTCTATATTTATACTTCGAGTTAATATTTATGGACATAATAAAAATATCCTCTTTTATATTAAACTGATGTTAATTATCTTGGAAGGAAATAAAAATACGGTCTAGTTGTATTGTAGTACTTAGTCATGTAACAATGAGTCAGTCAAGCACATCATCGCATCGTTTATTTTGTTATATTTATTTATTTCGTTTCAATTTACGTCGTATAAATAAAATGATATCAGTTACATCGTATATAATTACAAAAATATTAAAGATATAAATAATACGGTGTTTATATCTTGATGAATTTAATAAGGACGGACAAAGAAACAAAGTTCAATACAATTTTTGTCCATTTAGAATTCAAGACATTCCGCCGTCATTGCACACAGTGGTGCAACATAAAAAAAACTCACGTCCCATAGTAAACATGCAGCGAAAAACGATACTGGCACACAGCACAATCGAACATAAAAAACGAGTAAAAACGTCAAATACATATGTGGCGGAACCAGAACGAACATCGCGTGACACTGCGCAAGGTTGGACTAACAATAACAATGGCTCGGAGTAATTGTGGCCCACGGCATATTGAATGCAATTACTCGTGTTCTAGTATAAGATTTTTAATGTGCGGGTTTTTTTTTATTGCTGCATTGTATCTATCTTACGACAAGTGCGTCGGAGTAATACCACCACAACTCTCATCAGTCTTTTTTTCCAATCTAATGTCCGTACATTGGACTTTTTAGATACTCGTATTATGGAGTGTAGAAGTAAGGGGTACAGACTGTGTATTAAAAAGTGTCCATAGAAAACCGTTAAATAAAGATGGCGCCACTATAACTACGGGGTAAATTTTAAAGAACGCACGCAAAAATATTAGTGGGATAGACGACTTTTTCGAGGTTTTATTAAATAAAATTATTTTTGATTTTAGAACTACTGAGCAGTTTAGCAGCATACTTAAACCGTCGACAACTGCTAAGTTCATTTCATCCCAGTAGCTACTCCAGCGCTGTTGTGGAGAGTTTTTGAACTTTTATTTACTGCTTACAGATGGACACTTTTTCAACTATTCTACTATAGGAGTTGGTACTCCTTACTTCTACACTCCATAACTCGTATACTACTTTTTAATAAGGTAAGGGGTGGTAAGTGAATACTGTAGTCCATAGTCAATCGGGTAGATTAAGAGTCAAAGTACAGATGCATTATCACCCCTGAAGACTACGATGATATGAATAGTATAGAGGGTCTACAATCCCCTTCAATCACCACATTATGAAAAAACAGGATTATTATGCTGCTATGTCATGCGCTATATTATGGTTATAGCACGAATGGGTTGACTCGAACTGGGTAGGAGCATGCTCTCACAGAATATCTGCGTAAAATAGCAGCCAAATGCTGAGAACATTTTTACTGGAAACGAGGCATTCCATTTTAGTCCTCAGGGGTAGTATATAGGGGTGTAGATGTCTGTAGGCCACAACACCCACTTACTATCAGTTGGTCACCGTTATTCTGTAATAAAAATGTTGGTACTCTGTGTGGATGTGCTTCTTTATCGGCAGTATATTCGTGCCGCAGCCATAATAACCTTTATACTCTACCACGTTTAAAACTCCTTACAACAAGAAATATGTAGAGAATATGTAGATAATACCTATATAACTTGCTGTAATACTTAAGCGGAGATGGCAGTAAAATAATCAAGGAAACAGCAACGAAAGTTCTATTCGGTGTTATTCCACTGTCACTCATTTGCGTAACATATTTTTTCACGTCTACCTCCATTTTGTATTTTACAGCCACATATTAGTTTTATAAAAACAGAACCTAGCCTATAGCCATCACATGGATTAGACGCATCGCTAGACACATTGACGAAAATCCATTCAGCCATTGGGATGCTTTGAAGGTACAAAGAATACCACATACAAACTCAGATACAAGTGAAAAGCATAACTTCGTATTTTCGTCGTATTTTTTTTATTATTTAGTGCATACCTCTGTAAGATTTTCTATAGTCATAGACCAGACAATACGGATTGATATTTCACGAAATATTGTTATATTCCCCCTTGCACTAGTTGATATACTGTAGTTATTAGCTGTCAGCAGTTTAATAACAATAATTTAGTAAAATTTTAATCTTAAAACAAAAAGTGAAGGGAGAGATGTAGATATTGATGCAAGGTATTTTGAAATATATGTTCGCTTATTTTCGTTTTTTTTTGATAAATGAAAATGATAATTGGTTGATTCAGTCAGTTCAAGGATAATTTCAGTAGGGTTCTTGGATTTAATTTGGGCATAAACATAACAAGTCTCAATTTAGATATAATAAAATATTATGACAACAACAGTTACTCGTTTATTTATTAAGAATATATTACTAAGAATAATATTGCAACACTGTCGTTATTAATTAATAAACTGAAGTGACTTCTGGATTATCAATTTCTAGTAACAAATGGCATGCAGCAGTTTATTCTAATTAAGTCAACTGAAAGTACAGACAGTAAAATAAATATGTAATATCTAAAGTAGTGCTACAACCGCAACCGATAGTGGATATAATGTTAAAAAAAGAGAACTTGAAAAATGAATTAATAGTAAAAGTAAATAACGAAAAATGGAGAATGAGAGTAAAGATATAAAAGAGAATGAGGAGAACAAAGACAGTGCAAACACAGGAAACATTCAAGAAGCGTAGCGGATCCGCAACCAGAAGCCTCCTTTGACTGGAAATAACTAATATATTTTATCAAAATTTATTAATACCTAACAAACACATTTGTTGGTGTTCAAAAAAGAAATGACGAATGCTCAAAAATAATATTAAATAAATTACTAATATATGATTTACATATGAGGTAGATTAGATTAATAAATTAATAATCCATAAATTAGATAATATATATTTCTAACTTTTTAACGTTTATAGTTAAGTTTAGTAAATTTCATAAATAGCGACACATACATTCGGTACAAGTGGTCTTTCCGTAAGTGGTTATAAATGCCATGAAACAAAATAAATGTGCTAAAATAGAGAGCGATCTCAATAAATTGAATTCAGGTTCTTCTACTATAAGAAGGAAAAAGTTAATTTATCCGACACGAAACAAGCAGCAACATTATAGTCACTGGAATTTAGCGGCAAAAATAAGTACGTTTTTAGCGTTTATCTTGAAAAATTCTGACATTATTGAAAATTTAAAAAATACAATTAACAATATTTTATGTTTCCGTCCGATTTTTCGTAGAGATTATTTTAGAGATATAGTGAGACTTTTATTTTTTATAGGGATAATTTCAAAATATCTTTAATAGGTTTAAAATTAAAAATCGATGTTGTGAAATTATTGAGTTTAAAAACCCCACGTGTTAGACAGGTAGAGATAGCAAAAATAATCCGTATGTTTTGTTTTCAACACTAAAAATGATTCAAAGAGTCAGTTCCCATAAGTACTTTCCACCAATTAATCTACTTCAAAAATTTTCTTCTTTATACATTGTGTATAACTATAATATATATAATATTAAGATGAAAAAGGTAAATTTAAGGGGAAGATACAGAGCCGATCTAAATGATTTAAGAACAAATAGTATTAAAAGTGTCATTGAAAATTGCATTTATAACGTCAGAAAAAGATTTGAAGAATAGGCATGCAGGATTCTGTATCAAAGGAATGAGTTTAATATCGATATAAGCACATGAATGTATAAGATGTTGGTTGTGTACACAATCAAAATAGTGGTCAATAGGTCGTCATTTATATATATTAGTTATTTGCAGACGTTTGGAGCTCCTGACCTTTGTTTAGCGCTGTCTTCGCTTATTTCGTTCATAGTCAGCTTTAAATTTAAAGCACCCAATTTCTTCTTTTGGAACAATTTACCTTTCACAATACGGACAGACGTCAACTGAAATTTCAATTAATTGGTTATTTAAAAGATAGCTAGCTATGGTTTTGTCAACATATCGTTTTTGTGACAGTAGGAGAGGGAGAGAGTTAAATCTTTAACCAGATTATCTTAACGTTAACATATAAGTACACTGAAAGTAACTATTTTAATTTTTTCCCAAAATATGCCATTGTTACTGTTCACTAGTTTTGTGTTGGATAACTTCTAGAAGAGCAGTGGTTCAAAACCCAAATCCATCCTCAATTAAAATCAAAATGCAATCTTGTCATTCCTGAGGACTAAAATTGAATTCCTCGATTCCAGTAAAAAGGTTTGAGCTGAAAATCATCAAGTTGAAATAAATGATAAGATTTTGGTACCTCTACATATTTATCAAGAGCTAAAATGATGTTAAAAATGAATGTTGAAACTAACTTCAAAATCTTCTACATCTGATTCTTCTTATATTATTTTGTGGCGATTAAAATATATTTGATTTGAAGTTCGTAGTTTTTCTTTAATATTTTTAGGAAATTAGGAAATTTCATAAACCATAAAGCATTCGATAGAGCCGAAACGATGTAAGGAATATTATTTAAAATAATTACATATCTCAGTTGTTAACATTTAAGATTCCATAATTGATTTGTTATTTAAAAGATAAAAGCAAAGGTAATTTTGACCATACAGCCAAAAATTTTAAAAACAGTTCCGCGTTACATTTTTGTAAGATTCATATGCGTGGTCAGTATTTTTTTATTCTACGTGTCCAGTTGACGCCTGCGCGTTACCTTCGTTGACAGCGCTAAGGTCAGTGTGCGTGTGCGCAACATGCGGGGCAGTGGGGGGCGGAGGGGGCGGCTGCGCCGGCCGCTCCAGCCGCTCCAGCGGCGCGGGCGCCAGGCACGGCGACGACTCAGCCCACGCGCGCGTACCGTCACGTCGCCGAGACGACGCCGACAGCGTTTCCGCGCTCGTCGCACTGGCCGCACTCGCTGCGCCACTATCGCTGCTGTAGACAAACGCAGAGGTTGAACAAATTTCTACTAAATGTTACTAATGTGTTTGGGTGTCGTAAAGGGTGACAGAGGGAAATGAAACAGAAGATGGGCGACAGCGTCTTTCTGCTAACAACTTAAAATAATGAAAAACTGTGGTTTGCCAACCTTGATAAACGAGGCAATATCGGCAAATGTCCCCCCGATAAGCAGAAGGTATGTTCCGCAGTAGGTCTTTGATAGGCAGTAACGATATGGTTTCTCTTATTGATTCGTTTTTAACATGGAGTATAGAGGTAAGAAGGACAATCTCCCATAGGAGAATATTCGAAAATGTGTCCATCTGTAAGCAGTAAATAACAGTTCAAAAATTCTTCATAACTGCTCTCGAGTAGCTATAGGGTATGATAAATGGCTGTAAAATACATTGAGTGATTTTGAAAATAAAAATTTCGAAAGCAATAAAATAATTATTGTAAAAAGAATTATGCTGAAAGTCTGTGCAATAAAAAATCATAAAAAGTTTTATAAAATTTAGACTGTAGCTACAGTGGCGCCATCCTTATTTAGCGCTTTCCTACGGACACTTTTTTATACAGAGTCTGTACTTCTTACCTCTACACTCTATAGTTTTTAAGAATCGAAACAGAGCCATAATAATGTCATTATATTGTATGTCTATATGTAAGTTCTAGACCTAAAATTTGATGAACATTGACCTAAGCTTTGAATTCAAAATTCAATTGAATTATTTTATTTAGCGATGGGGGAGGGTGAGTTATATTTTTCTGTACCTTCGGTAAGAATATTATTTTATACTTTTTAATCCTCAAAAATAAAGAAATAGGGGGCCGTTAAAGTTGTCAGTTTGGGATTGTTTTTATTACAGGGTCTATCTTAAAAACTAAACTAGTTAAAAATTTGCAATTTCTGAACATTATTCATACTATTTCTATACAACAAATAATAAAAATATCAAATCATAATGCACTTGGTAGGGCGTGATCAAAGCAAACGAACTTTTTTTACGGTGTACTCCAAGAACTTACAGTAAAAAGCATATATCTTTTATAGGTACCTAATTTAAAAAAAAATTGCTTATAATAGGAACGGAACCCTAATAGAGAGAAGCTCGACTAGCACTTGGCGGTTTATGTTATTATTTTGAGTTGTTGATTAGAAGTATGCTGCTGCCCATCTCTGTTTCAGTTTCATTCAGTCGCCTCTTACGTACATATAATAGATATAACAGTACTACGTTACAACAGACACGGGATGACATCGGGGAGTGGATGCTCTTACACCGCCACTACACACTACACAACGCACTAAATGATTAGCTGAGCGCAACTAAAATTAACATTTACATACTTATTAAGGGATATATATATATATATATATATATATATATATATATATATATATGAGGGAAAACTCAAATGGCTTAGCAAGATCCTTCGTTATGCCGAAAATATTGCAGAATTAATTTTGAAATAAATATATGGTACAGTTGAGGATTAATGTTAAGGATTATGTTAGACGAAAACACGATTTCGTAAAATTTTCTCGATAGAAAAAAAAATCCAAAGTTACCTCCAAAAAAATAAACCGCTGCTATTCATAAAATACTTTAAATAAGATCATGAAACTTTGCATACTAACTGAACTAACTATAAAGCAGTGCTTATGTTATTTACTTTATTTAAAATACCATTATTTTCACTGTAAAAAGAAATTACCTAAACTATCGGCCTCTTGAAGCGTGATTCCTGCCGCCCCGTCACTTCGCTTCGGCCTTTGATCGGGGGAGGTTGTGTCGCTTATGATCAGAATATACATTACGCAACAGAACGACGTAAAATTAAAATGGGAAACAACCGTAATAAAAATAAGAAGCGACTGGCTTGGCGTTAAGAAACAGGCATAAATATGATAAACCTAATGAAATAAGTATCTAACGACCTTTCTACATACAGTATTAGTGATTACAAACATGTCGGTACATAGCATACGACGCGAGGGAAGTGGGGACGAAATTAGAATTTGAGCTGATTTACTATATCCCCAAATTTTAAAGGGGTTTTCAATGGGCGCGGGTAGATTTTCGCGGCCCGTGACAACCATTTTGTTTTTGTGACATCCATCAAATCTTTTGTTTATTATTCAGTTTATGTACACGATTGAACAGCCCGTTCAAATGATAAAACTTTATTACCAAATGAGTGTTCGTTAGTGCAAATGTTGCGCGCATTGCGTCCATTTTACGATAAATGTGGTGGCCCTTCACAATCGACTCTTCATCGTTTAGTGGCCAAATTTGAAACGAGCAGTTCGATAAACAATGAACCAACACCCGTAAGTTCAAGGAACGCAAGATCGGCCGAGAACATTGTCGCGGTTCACGAAAGTGTACAGCCTCGTACTCGCCGTAGACAAGAACTCGGCATTTCGCAGACTTCAACTTGGCGAATTTCGTGTCGGGACTTAGGCCTACATCCGTACATCCGTACAAAATTCAACTGACCCAGGATTTTGTACGGATGTAGGCCTAAGTTGGTGTAGGAACGCTGGTGAGGCGGCGGACTTGAGGGTAAGCTTATCTCGCAGGAGTGATGTGAATTGGCTACCAAGGTCATGTGATATGACTCCGCTAGACTTTTTCTTGTGGGGTTTCTTGAAGTCGCAGGTCCATGCAAACAAACCACAATCGACCGTGCCCTAAAGGTAAACATAATACAGGCCATCGCTCAAATTCAGCCGGATCTATGCAGAAGAGTTATTGAAAATTGGACCACTCGGATCCGTGCCACCGTAAGAAGCCAAGACGGGCATTTGAACGATGTTATATTCCACACTTAATGGCACATGTGGGCCTTTCAAATAAAAAAGAATTTTTTGTTAATACATCAAACACAGCTGGTTTTATTTCATTTCAACATCTATTCGCCCTTATTGAAAATCCCTTAATGTAGTAGAGTCACGCTACTGATATATTATTGTTGTAGCTCGAATGGGTCGGCGCGATCGGAGAAGAACCACACTCACAAAACACTAGAAATTTAACCAATAGCAACATTATGCGTGTTTCGTAATAGTAATAGAGAACCAGGGAATCTTTAGATTGGTGTACGCCTCTGTGACAACGCAACTGTAAATTGATTCCTAATCAAGGATAGATATAGATGTCTATAGGTCACATTATCATAGGTCACTTGTCATTCTAAAAATTAACAAAGCTGTTATTTTAACCAAGTCACTCAATATCCAATATGCTCTAGTGGCTAGGATACCTGGCTCTCACCCAGGAGGCTCGGGTTCGATTCCCGGTATCGGAAATAACTTTTTTAGGAAATATCTTTTTGAATCTTATTTTGACATTAGTCTTAAAAATTATTCTTTTAATTAAAGTAGATACCGACTTTACAACTGAAAATAATACAATAATTTATATATAGTAGCTTCTGAAGAAAATAATACAATAATTTATATATAATAGCTTCTGAAAGCGATGCCAAAATGTAGTTTATCTAAACTACATTTTATCGACAGATAAACGACAGATCAAATCATACTACTAATATAACTGCAGCATGGCACGTGCAGGTCCAGCCGTTTCTGAGAGATGGTTACGCGTCGAATTTAGAACCTTAAATGTGGTAGTCATGCTGTTTTTGATGCTGTAATATAGCTTACAACCATGTGGCACTAATTGGTAGGCTCGACCGGACAAAATAGGGATTGAAGTTTTTACATGTAACTAATTACACAAAATTGAGATTTTGACATTTGTAAGTCCACTCAAAAGGTAAAAAAATAAATTTTAATAAAACGTGAAAGCAGACATCAAAAACTAAAAATAATTCTTAAGTTGCGGCTTTAATTCTTTCTGTTAGCACGGACTTTAGAAAACCTATTCTATAAAAAAAAACTCCCTTAAGTCGGTAAATTATTAATATTCAAACTGCAGATGCTTCACCCATCAATAAGATATAACTTTTTCACTTTATTGAATGGATTTAATGGTGACAAACCAGCACACAGTCCACTTGATGGTAAGTATATGCTGTGGCTCATAGACAACACATACATCTGTCCTCGATTAAGAATCAAAAGGAATACTACACCCTTTATTGTACACTAAGAAAACAAATAACTTAACAAGAAACAAAGAGAAAAACAAAAGGCAGTCTTACTGCTATGCAGCAATTTCTTCCAGGCAACCTAAATAGGAAATAAAAACAGACTAGTGATCATAAAACGACAATAAGAGAAGAAAGGAGGAAGGAGAATTTAGAAGGAAAGATAATGTTTCTTAACTTGGTTTTTAAAGGAGTCTATTGTTTGAGCACGTATAGTTAATGATCGGAATATAATAGAATGTATATATTTTATTTTCAATGTAGATTAGATGTAATTCTTATTGAAACTAATTTTTTTTACTGTACCACTGCTTCGGAAAAAAAACCTCTGTCCTAGAAGGAACCAGCAAGAAACCCAGCGGGACGTTTTTTTTTTTGAAAAATGCAGATGTGTCAACCCTAGTGATAAAATGAAATGCATGGTTTCCAGTAAAAAGGGTTACCGTTTCTCGTTCACTCACCATAAGAAACACATTACAGCGTTATGTTGCTATTTCACGCTGGTGTTCAGTTCTAGGGTCCTACGATTGAGTCGGCCTATTCGTGCTACAGTCATAACCACGTGACTTTACCATGTAAAATATAATGTTGCATGAATAAGTCAACTAGCGCCATCTAGTGCCAGGAACGAGAGCGAGGGGAGCATTGAGAAAATGACATCACAAATTACTCAACCGACAGCGCCTAGTCGAAACTCGAACGCTCGGTACCTTGCCCGTGTTTACTTGAACATTCTGGATATTTCTTTGCTGATTCAAATATATAGGCGCTGCAAGATGCGATCGAGTAGTAGTGTTGATTTGGCGAAACAAGCGAAGCTTCGGAGTGGAATTAAGTGAATTAGTGTCTTTAAATTATTAGTGTTTTAACTTTAATTGTGTAAAGTAAATTAAAGTGTTAATTTAGGTAATTTTATCGGCAATTTTTATTGTCACGAACCTCAAGCTCGTAACAATTGGTGTCAGAAGTGGGATAAAATCATGCCGATTTTACCTAAGGAGGAAACGGAGGGTGTCCGTACCCACAGTCAACGCCAGCATGAGACGGACCAGAGGAGATTTGGTGGTGCAACGCCACAGACGTCGGAGGGCCAACTGCCAGCCACGGAGGCTGCGGGCCCGTCATTAGCTCCTACACCTGCAGCACCTGACTTAGGTGCTCTGATGGCGATGCTACAGGAGCAGCTGCAGCGCGGACGAGAGGAACAGGCCCGTCTATTAAAAGAGCAGCAGGAGGAACAGGCTCGCCGACAGGAGGAACAGGCTCGCCGACAGGAGGAACAGGTCCGTCGGTTGGAAGAGCAGCTGCGGGGCGGCCAGGAAGAACAGATGCTTCTCATGAAGGACCTTCACGCTACCTTCGGGAAAGAGATAAGGGAGGTGAAGGATAAGGTTGCTCAACATGATAACCGCCTGTCGGAAGCTGAGACCCAAATCAACCAAGTTAAGAAAACGCTGGATGAACTCAAACTTGGGGATGGAACCACAGCTCCCGTAGTAGCTTCAGCACCTTCGCTACGTGGGTTCAAGGTGCCACCGTTTGACGGGACTTCTTCCTGGTCAGCCTACAAAATCCAGTTCGAGGCTGTTATGAAGGCGAACGGCTGGAATAAAAGTCAGGCCATGACTGCTCTCACACTAGGCCTGCGCGACCAGGCCTTAACAGTTCTGGAAGCTCTCGGTGAGGAAGTGACTTATGAGCAACTCCTTGAGGCATTGGAGGCGAGATATGGCGACGCTCACCTGGAACACGTCTTTCGTGCGCAGCTTAAAGATCGTGTGCAGCGCATCAACGAAAACCTGCAGCAGTGGGCTCTAAAGGTGGAGAAGCTGGTGCGAAAAGCATACCGGTCTGTACCTGCGCTCATTGAAGGGAACCTGGTGCAGACATTCATCGACGGCATCCGCGACCTGGAAGTCAGAGCTGCTGTGAGGCTCGGGCACCACGAGACGCTTAAGAACGCCTTGGCCCATGCACTGGAGGTAGAAGCCGTGCGGCAGGATCATCGTTCCCATCGCGTCAGGGAAGTTGCAGCAGCTACAGTTTGCGACCGCAACAAAGGATACAGCCCTAGGTGCTATGGTTGTGGGGAAAAGGGCCATCTTCGATCCAGCTGCCCTAAACGAACCGTGGAAAGGAGAGTTGATCGATCTCGAGAGGGTAGTGCAGCTAACGGCACTGCCTGGCGGCGACAGGATCATCGTTCACCTCACGCTAGGGAGGTTACAGCAGTTACGGTTCGCGACCACAATAAAAGATACAGCCCTAGGTGCTATGGCTGTGGGGAAAGGGGCCATCTTCGGTCCAGCTGCCCTAAGCACACCCTAGGAAGGGAAGGTGAACGGTCTCAGAAAGGAAGTGCGGCTAACAGCACCGCCCAGCAGCAGCAGGAATACGACTTTACTATCAGACACTGCAGCGGGAAATCTCACGGCAACGCAGATGCATTGTCAAGAAGACCTTGTCCTGAAGATTGCAACCATTGTAGTAGGCAAGAGAGTAAGGAGGTGGTATCCATGAGGATGCTCAGGACGGACCACCTCAGCAACGAATGGAAGGACAACCTACGACATGCACAGCAGGAAGATCCAGACATCAAGCCGATTCTGGGATGGATGAAGGCCCGTGCTACCAAGCCTAAGTGGAGGGACGTCTCAGCGATGAGTTCAACCACGAAAAGCTATTGGGCCCAATGGGACAGCTTGCTGATTCAGGATGGAGTCCTGTGCCGTAAATGGGACAATGGTCGAAGAGACAGCTGTCGTTTGCAAATGGTTGTCCCTAAAGTTAAAGTGTCGAATGTTCTACAGTTATGCCATAATGGTCGTTCAAGAGTCCATCTGGGAGTTAAACGAACTCTACTGAAGGTCCGAGAACAGTTTTACTGGGTCCATTATCGTGACGATGTCGAGGATTGGTGTCGTACATGTACAAGTTGTGCGGCCGTGCGGGGACCTCGGACACGTAGTAGAGGAGCACCGAAATTGTACAATGTTGGTGCACCACGGGATAGGACAGCCCTTGACATTGCGGAGCCGTTACAGAAAGGCGCAAGAGGGACTCCTAAGATCGTCCATGTGGATCGCTTGGCGCGTTATTATGGGACCGATAATGCTCGGGATGAGCATGTCTTAGGAGGGGGCAGTGTTGCATGAATAAGTCAACTAGCGCCATCTAGTGTCAGGAACGAGAGCGAGGGGAGCATTGAGAAAATGACATCACAAATTACTCAACCGACAGCGCCTAGTCGAAACTCGAACGCTCGGTACCTTGCCCGTGTTTACTTGAACATTCTGGATATTTCTTTGCTGATTCAAATATATAGGCGCTGCAAGATGCGATCGAGTAGTAGTGTTGATTTGGCGAAACAAGCGAAGCTTCGGAGTGGAATTAAGTGAATTAGTGTCTTTAAATTATTAGTGTTTTAACTTTAATTGTGTAAAGTAAATTAAAGTGTTAATTTAGGTAATTTTATCGGCAATTTTTATTGTCACGAACCTCAAGCTCGTAACAATAATACTTATTCCATGCTTAACTTCTAAATCGTCTAAAATATATTAAATCTTACCAATTGCTGAAGCCGGAATCACCGTCCATCGAATCAGTCAAGTAGAAGGTCGAGTTGGTGATCTTGAGAGCGCTCGGCACGTCCGAGTTTATGTCCACCGCCATAGATGAAGCTCTCCTGAACCGAGACTTGAATGAAAAGTATGTCTTCCTCGATAGTGTGCCGGAGTCCTTTTTACTGTCGTTAGTTGGTATCGTTAGTTTTTCTGGCGGAGGCTTCTCTGGCAATGGGGGAGGAACGTCACCATTGCTGTGTCTCTTGTCACCAATTACAGTCTTAAGTTCCTCTTTGAAATTTCCCGTGATCTTTGACATGGGATTCTCAGTCTTATTAAGCACGTTTTTCGAATCGTTGAAGGTGACATTCGCGTAAACGTGTTGCACTTCCGGCTTCTCGCAGTTGGCGTAGATGGGCGCTTTGATTTTGGTTTTCGGCGTATCGTAGGTTCCGTTCGGTTGTGGTGACTTTGTTAACGTTTTGCCGTCCATAGCAACTGAAAGAAAAATGTTTAGAGCTAAGTTACGAGAATGTCAACCTTATACGTAAGGGCTCTAGGGTAAATATATCTTAATATATATATACAACGTGACACGTAATTTATTTATATATATATATATATATATATATATATATATATATATATATATATATATATATATAAATTACGTGTCACGTTGTTGTTCGCGATGGACTCCTAAACTACTTAACCGATTTTAATCAAATTTGCACACCGTGTGCAGTCTGGTCCAACATAGGATAGTTTTTGTAACCATGAGTGACCCACAATTTTTTTTTGCGAATTTAAGGATTTTTATAGGACATGCCAAAGGGTCATCGAAAAGGGCAGAACAACCTCTGCCTGGCAAGCTAGTAATTAATAAATTTCAAACTTAGTATTATCTTTTAATAAGAAAAAGGCTATAGAAGCGTTGGGTTCTCAAAAATTACATAGAATGTCTGTAATGTAATGAAACGGCTTTATATTTCATTTGTAAAATAATATTTAAAGAAATAAATATCTAATTATTATTTTAACTTTTTTCATCAACATCCGATATGGTCTAGTGGCTAGGATACCTGGCTCTCACCCAGGAGGCTCGGGTTCGATTCCCGGTATCGGAAACGAGTTTTTATTAATAATTTGGATATTATTCAACTTACCCGAGTATCGCTTAGTGAGGTTTCGTTTGATTTGCCTCATTTTCTTCTGAGCAGCGCTAGCGATTTTCGTGAGAGTGTAGGGCCCTCCCCCGTTAGGTGGTGATGGAAGCCTTGTTGAAGGCACCGCTGGCACGGAGTACGTATTCGGGGACTGCAATTTATTATTGCTTTCTTAAATTATCTTTTAATTATTGAATATTTTTTATATTTACTACAAGTACAAAATAGAAATGAACACGTTTTATGGAATATCATAATAATGAAGAAAATAAACATAAAACAAAAAGTGTTGGGCATTTTTAACATGTTAGGTATATTATAGCGGCGAAAAAGAATCCATTATTCGACGTCTCACTTCGACTCAAACAGGCGGCCATGTGAGATCAAAGATCTCACGTCTACCGCTAGATGGCGCTGTATCTATCTCGTATAACCTAGAAATAAAACTAGACTGCCAGGTAACAGCTGGTTAGAAGTGAAAGACGTCGGGTATTGCGACCGCCAATCCATCTGCTAAGCCTGGCGATTAAAACAAACTCAGCGAGAGGCTGCAGAATACTTTTGTGTCGATGTAGTGTTCAGTTTCATCATAGCTCACAATGATATTAAAAGCTTATCAATTATATATCAATGGGCATCCGAGATTGTTTTAGCCACTAAGGCGGCGCCACGGTGTCGGGGAAAGTTAATTTGTTAAGAAAATGTAATTAATGTTTCTTCCTGAAATATTAGTTATATTTTATGTTAATTTAAAAGATTAGAAATTGATAAACCGTACTACAAATATGCCTAATTTTTTTACAAAGAAATGTGCAAAAAATTAAAGATAAAACCGCTAAGGCATTGTTTTGTGTGTTTATTTACACTAGAAACCAATATCCCCGTCGGTTTCGGAATATAGTTATACGTGGTAGAGCTACGCTGCAGCTGTTATGGTTGTAACATTAAAGGATCGGCTCGACCGGGAAGGACTACGCTGTCACAGAATACCAGCATAAAATAGCAGCTTAATGTTGCTGTGTTTCGTATGGTGAGTGTAGAGAACCGGAGACCAGTTTTATTGGAATCGAGGCATTCCATCTTCAAGGGTGACAACGCATCTGCATTTTGATTCTTAACCGAGGTTAAATGTAAATGTCTATGGGGCACAGCATCTACGTAACATCAGGTGGACTGTGTACTCGTTTGTCACCCTTATCCTAAAAAATAAAATATAAATAAACAAAAATATAAATATAGTTATATCTTTTCAAATTTGTTGTTCGTCAAATTCCGCCATCCTAAGTGCGCGTATCCTATCCGCGTGAGCTTTTAAATCTAAATCCGTTGTTGACCACCTACTGTCACCACCTATTCACTGCTAAACAGTAATGCATTTCTTCTTGTATTCTGGTTTGTACAGTATGTAGATTCAAAATTAATACAGGCTGTCACACATTTCATCAAAGTCTTTAAACGTGACTACGCATCCGTATTTTGTTGATTACAGATGCCCACAGGCTGCAACAGTCCCTGACCATCAGGTGGATTGTGAGCTGGTTTTAATGTCAAATAAATGAAGTAATAACTTACTTTATCATGATCTTCGGAGTCAGTGTCGCTGTCGAAGGAGTCGAAATCATCCTCAAGGGGCAGTGCATGTAGTGCAGAGCTCGCGTGGCCCGCGTGCGGCACGTGTGCAGCGTGTGCGGGGTGTGTTGGAGCTGGCTCCAGGGATTCGTACAGGTGACCAGATTCGCTGCTGTCACCGTCTGAAAAACAAATTAACATTTATATATTAAAATCGGATACAGTATAACTATCAATTCAGTTTCAGTCAGTCTTTTAATTAATTTAATGACTAAGACGATTTTTATTTAAATATTACTTAATAACCCTTGTAGGTACCCTTTTGTGAAACTGCTTATTAACTAATAGATGTTGTACTAATTAATAATGTTTTCCTCACAAATACCAATAACCTTTATCATTTTACGTTTTAAGAACTTTATCTACGCTAGAAACTGACTCTTCAGAACTTATATATGCTACGCGATAGAAGTTAAGTTTTTTTTTTATTTGAGAGAGGGCAAACTAGCATGCGGCTCACCTGATGGTAAGCGACTACCGCTGCCCATAAAATACTGCAACACCAGGGGAATTGCAGATGCGTTGCCAGCCTTTTATAAAAGAGAAGGCTCTTTTCTTGAAGGTCCCTAAGTCGTATTGGTCCGGGAAAATCGCTGGTGGTAGGCGATTCCACGAGGAAGTTGTGCGAGGAAGAAAACTTCGTGTAAATCGCACAGTGGTGGACTGCAAATCATCCAGATGGTATGGATGGTTCGTTTTTTGTCGCGATGTGCGATGGTGAAATTGAGAGACTGGAATTAGTCCGAACAATTGCTCAGAGCATTCCCCGTGGTAAATGCGATAGAATACGCAGAGATGCAAAATCTCTCCGCAGTACCAGTGAGCTATGCCAATCGAAAACACCTCGGTCGCCGACGATTCGAACCGCTCTGCACTGGCTGCGATTAAATGGTAGGAGCTGGCACAGTGGCGCCCCGACCCAGTGATGGGAACAAAGTTCCAGAACCCGCCACTTGTAAAGTTCCAGGCGGTGTGCCGGCATGAAATACTGTCTGCTGAGCACGCCAACCTTTTTAGAGGCCAATTAGGCCTTCTATAATAAAGTGAAAATAAAGAACCGTGGTAGCTCAGATGGTTAGCGCTCGCTATAATTTTCACAGTATACGCAGCAAACCGAGTTCGATTCCCGCCGGCACCAATGAAATTATTAATTGCAATTTTGAGTGCTGATTTATCACGTGTTCGGCGGTGAAGGAAAACATCGAGAGGAAACCTGCATGTCTAAGAAATAAGAAAAAAAATTCGAAGACATGTGAAGTTCGCCAACATTGGGGCAGCGCGGCGGACACTTCCTTGCCTTAAAACCCTCTTAGAAATGAGGGGAGGCCTGTGCCTAGCAGTGGGATGTATATAGGGTGTAACTTAAACTTTTTTTAGGCCTTCCATTCCAAGTGACCACGAAACTGCACGTCGTTCGATATGTCGACGCCGAAGATTGTGTTTTTGTCTAAATATTGTTTGTATTAGTTAGAATGGCGATGGCAAAAAGCATTTTAAAAGTAATTACTTATACAATATACTAACTTGCCAGACAGATGTTGTTGTGCCCATTTTGACGATCCATTGTCATGTCCAATTAAAAATCCATAAATTCACAAAAAATTAATTGTGTGTCACTCATGGGTAAAAAACTATCCTATCTCTCAAGCTGGGCTGGGCTTAACTGGACACGGCGTGCAAATTTGATTAAAATCGGTCAAGTAGTTTAGGAGTCCATCGCGGACAAACAACGTGACACGTAATTTATATATATTAAGATTAAGAAAGATTACTGTTTTGACATAAAAGAAGGATGTAATATGCAATCCAGCAAAGTCACTAACTTTAGAGCTAAGTATCTAAGTAAGCAGGTTGTTTCAGAATATAAATAGGGTTATGCATTTAAACTAAAACTACACTTCGAAAATTTCTAGAAAAGATAAGTGTTTGATTGCATAAGACTCAGTAGCATTATTATCTATCGTCAAAAGCAATTTTTTTACATTATTTGATGTGGGAAAGTGACAGAGGTTCAATTAGAATCATTATTGGCATTATATTGCGTTTTCTTTTATTATTAACGAGAAATTGATTGGTATTTGACTTATATTATAGATGCAACATAAAAAAACACTCATGTCCACAAAATTTTACAAATGCTGGAAGGAAAATCTTACGAACGAAGTTTTAATATTTTTCAAAAAAATGTACTTACTAATTGTAGACAGTAGAAATAGATATATTTTTATTATATATGTATATATAACGGCTCTAAAGATATAGCTTATAAATTATGTATTTAGATAATATTTTACATTACAAGATAATAATGATTACGGAACGTGAAAGATTCTGGAATTCACTGATAGGAGATTATGTCCTACAGATTTCATTTGGTTTAATACTCAAAGATTTCATACTGAAAACTAACTTTAACAATAATAAAATTTAGACTACTTCACTCGGGAATAGTGTAGATTTCCATCTATGAAAGAATATTCAATAAAAGAAGATAAGATAAGAATTAGATCAGCAGTTTCCGAGTTTATCTCCTACTTCAAAAAAACTCTTAATTTACCTCCTTATAAGTGTACAAAGTAGGGCCGTGGTAGCTCAGATGGTTAGCGCTAGCTGTAAATCTCATAGTACGCGTGAGCAACCCGGGTTCGATTCCCGCCGGCACCAATGAAATTGTTAGTTGCAATTTTAAGTGCTGATTTACCACGTGCTCGGTGGTAAAGAAAAACATCGTGAGGTAACCTGTATGTTTGAGAAATAAGAAAAAAAATTTCAAAGACATGACATGAAGTTTGCCAACACGCATTGTGGCAGCGCAGCGCACACTTCCTTGCCCTAAAACCTGTGCCCAGCAATGGGACGTATAGGCTGTAGCTTTAAGTGTACAAGTACAGCTAACTGCTACTTACAAAAATGAATGTATACGAGTACATTTATTTTTTTTTATGTCCGTTTTTCCTGTGACCACTCCTAAAGCTCATTTGATTTAATAATGAGTAATTTGATCTTGAAAGTGATTTAACGGCTTCATGACGCAGTAGCTTGGCAATGAGTTAGTCACTGGGGGCCGCGGGTTCGAATCACGCACGGAACAAAAATTTGTATGGCCTACAAATAATTGTTCCGGGTCTGGATGTTAGTCCTTGTGCAATTTATGTTTGTAAACTGCCTCCACGATAAAGAAGAAAATCCCAGTGTGGGGTAACGTTTTTTTTTTAAAGAATGACAAATGTAGTGTTAAAACAAAACTTGTAATCATCAAGGTGTAGGCACCTTAAACATATTAATCTTATAAGCCAGACTCACTGCAGTTGGTTTTTTAATAACAATTTTATTCGTTTAAAAATTAGGCAAGAAAATATTATAACATTGTGATTATCATTTTTGATAACTGTGCTCTGGTAACCACGCATATTGTTATACCATGCTCCGGACACTAGTAGGTCAATGAGTTACGTCAACTGACGTTGGTAACAGTTTAGTAACCATGAAACATATTGTTACATTTATAGCTCTAACTACATATACCTGCGCTTCGCTTTTCTTTAACGAAGGAAAGCGATACAAGGTACTTTATTTTGTAGCTTTGTAGGCAGTTTCCTTTAGACATAATTTGTGTTTAGTATGATTATGTAATGGGATGGGTTCATCAACATCATTATTATCATCATCGGTCCCTTGGATTTGGAACTGGGATGTTTCTATCATTATTGAGTTGAAATTGGTGAACACAAAACAGTACATAAATACGTAAAACAAATAAGTAATATAAATGTTTAAGTTTAAGGCATGCTGCAGTTATATTATAGCTGCAGCACCAAAGAATCAGCTCGACCGTGGTAGTTCCACGGTCACACAGAACCACCATCGTGAAATAAAACAACTTAATTTGAAGTTTTAACACACCACGTTTTTTCATATATCTACAAGATCACCCCATTTTTCAGCTATCTTTAAAATTTCAAGTCTCTAGCTCATCATGCAGTTAGTTTACTAAATTCGACCAGAACAGGCACATAATAAAGGTACACGATCATATAGGTACGAGTTTAAAACTGTGTGCGAATAAAATGATTTATTTTAATAACAATTCTCTATTTTATTAACTTTTCCTTGATATTAAGTTTTAAATTTTAACTTTTTTTCCGTTTGAGTTTTCTAATATTCTATAATTATTGAAATCAATATTACATGAAAAACGATATAACATGAGAATAATTGAGATACATCTTATCTCAATTATTCTCATATTATATCGTTTATAACGGATCAACTAAATTATGTTTTTTATTTCGATTTTATTTTAATGATATATGCTTTGCTGTCTACGAAGTTTATGGCGTGGCGTGTGCTATCGATGTTTATCAAAGAAAAATAAATTAGATTTCTGTGATGTTTATAGTGCTTCGTGAATTGCACACAAAGTCGAGATTAAATATGAAACAAACAATTCATTGTGTGCTCTACAATACAAGCCGACTTCAACTATCATGCGATCTGGTTGAAATTCACAAGCGACTTCTGTAATAGCGTATTCTATTTCCAAAAAAAATCATAGCTTTAGTAAATACGGTCTTACGTAGTAGAGCCACGCTGAAGCTATATTATGGTTGTAGCACAACTTTACCAGGGAAGGACCACGCTCTCACAGAATACCAGCATAAAATAGCAGCTTAATACTGCTGTTTTTTATGGTGAGTGAAGAGAACCGGACATCCTTTTTACTGCAAACGGGGCATTCCATCGTAGTCCTCAGGGGTGACAACGCATCTTCTTTTTGATTCTTAATCGGAAATAAAAGTAGACGTCCACCTAATGTATACTTAACATTAGGTGGACTGTGTGCCACCCCCATTCTATTAAAAAAAGTATTAAAGATATTAATAGTTACTTTGCAACCATCCGCTGAATAAAATCTAATGATGTGTCTTATATTGTTTGAAGAGCACCTCCCGCCTTCCCACAATTACGTGCACTAATCCCGTCACCACTAATCCTAGCACCATTATCGTCGATGGTGTGTCTTTCCTGGAATAGTGGTGTTGGGAGTAGTGGTGCTGGGATTAATGCATGCAATTGAGGGAGGGCGGGAGGTGCTCTTCAAACTAGGTAAGACACATCATTT